TTACATATGTCACAAAGCTTCACATCTACCCCCAAACTTTTCTTTTTTTGGAAAAAAAAAGAGAGAGAGAGAGAGAGACTCCAGCTTAGGTGGAGTAAGACTGTCTCTCTTTCTCAAAAAAAAAAAAAAAAAAAAAAAGGCGGAGGGAGCCGGAGACCTTAACAGACATCTCACCAAAGAAGATATCCTCATGGTACATATGCATCTGAAAAGATGTTCCACATTACATGTTATCAGGGAAATACAGATTAAAACACAAGAAGAGAGAGAGAGAAAAGAAAATGGAGGGCAGAGGGCATGGCAGATTGGAAGACTGCCTCTGTGTTCATTTTCAAATACACTAATTACACTAATAGAAACAACTTTCTCATTAACATTCTCATAATCAGTAAAGTTGGTGCTCTAAGTTGTAATATTATACATTCCTTCATAAACTCAATAAAGTTATTGTCACTCTTTATGAAAAAAATGCCTTTAAATGTTATGATTTATTTCTCATGCAAAATAATGTTCATTAAGTGAATTAAACTCCAAATCTCAACTTTTCTGCAGTGTTCTGCAACCTATGGACATGTGATGATAATAATGGTGCTCTGCTCCTTATCTAAATTTGGTGGGAACATCGTTGATGCTGACCTCCTAGGATAGAAGCCCTTTGGAGTGGGGACTGCACACCTGGCATGAGGTAGGAACATCCCCCATGTGTCTGGACATGCTGAAGAAGTAGGTACCATAGAGCACTGATGCCTGAGGATGAGGGGCACCTCTGGGAGCAAGCAGAAACAGAAAGAAAGGAGATATTTTTAATATAATTCATCTTCCTCAGCATGTGTCCCCAAAAGATTACACTCCATCCAACACCATGGATCTGGACAAACAATGTAGTGTATTCAGTGGCACTTTGTGATTTCTGCCTCTTGTAGCAACAATCTTTCGTAATAAACAGCTTCATACATCTCACCAAGCACTTGCTGTCTTCCTGAGATGTCAGCATAAGCACCTGGGTACCATCAGACAGACTTACACTTCCCAGTTGAACACTATACTGCTTATCTCCAAGAATCAAGAACAGGGAGTGTGTGTGTGTGTGTGTGTGTGTGTGTGTGTGTGTGTGTGTGTGTGTATGAGTACGCAGATGCCCAGAGAGGGAGAAAGAGAGAGACAGAGAGACCACAATTTCTTTCCAGTGTGGGTCTTTCCAATGTCATTTTATAAGGTTCTGGACAGCTTGGCTGGCTGCAGTCCTGATATTATAAAACAGAATTGATTTGCAAGGACTTGAGCCAGGAGAGGGCACACCTGGGAGGCAGCTGTGAGATCAGCACAGAGCAAGGGGGCAAATGCTGAGGTATCTTGAAACCTACAGCAGAATAAAGGGTTCGGGGCAACCTGAACCAGAGCCAGAGTTTAGTGCTCCCTGATGGGACTATTGAATTCATCAGGGCCAAGAGAGAACCAAGTGCCAGCCTTTATCTTGAGAGAGGAAGGAGGTTCTGTGTGTGTATGGAAAATTAAAGGTCCGAAGAGGAGATGTAGTCAATGTGTTAAACCTGAAATTACACTGAATGACTTACAGCTGGATTCTCACTGAAATTTCTTTATTGCAACTATTCCAAAAAGATATCCACTGTTTCAGGAGTTTCACTACACACTAAACTGACAAAGTGATTGTTTAGATGAGTGTTCTCAACCCTGAGTTTTCTTTAGAGTCTTTAGAAAATACCCACTCCAGACAAAATGAATCAGAATTTCTGGGTGAGGGATCCAAAGATGGGTAGTTTTAAAAACCTTTCTATATAATTCTAATATGCAGCCAGGATTGAGAACTGATGGCTTAGGCTGAGATGGGAATGAGGTACCAAAGGAAACTAGAGAAAGAAAGATTGTGGTTGAAAGGTTGTGATTCCTGGGTTTAGCCTCAGACAAGAAAAGTTTCCTCATGTTTATGCTTAAGTGCCAGAACAGAAAGAAACAAGACACCTCAGCCTGTGATGAGTTGGTCAAAGGGTTGGCAACAATGAATTTAATCTGTGACTACCAATCAGAAGCCAAACTCTGAAGATCCCAAAATATAAACAAAACTAGACAAGCTGGTGGATGAATAATACATTTGGTTGTATGTTTCAGTCAACTATCAAGGATTCACAGAATAGAAACCCACTTAAGGTAGCTGAAGATTAGGAAGGTTTGTGGTAGAGACCCAAAAGGTAATTTCAAAGCATCAAGGATTTGGGCTTCCAGAGCCAGGAACCAGACACTCAGGGACTGAGGTCACTCCTTTCACCTCTCGGTCATTTGATCTCCTTCATCTCTGTTCCTCTTCACACATCTGCTTCCTTCTTCCAGTGCAGTTGGCTTTCTCTGATTAAACACTTTACACAAGGTCCAACATACAAGTGATTCAGCTCTAATTTATCACTATCTTTCATGTCCAGAGCCCAACACTGACTCACCATTGTTAAAGTGTTTCTTAGTTCAAATTTTCAGCAGAAAAGGATCTGGTCACTAGTCCAGCAAAGGACAGCTGATCTTATCTAGCTTCAGGCAAGGTGTCAATCTCCTCCCATAAACTAGGGTATGTGTGGAAAATGTCTTGTGGTTCACAGGCTGAACACTTTAGGAGACCATTGGAAGGGCAGGTGCTTATATAGTAGCTATAGGCAAGGCAAGTAAAGAAGTCCATCTAATTTCCATCCATAACTGATGAAACAGACACATTTTGCTTTCCCATCTTCTACCTTCCAAATATGGGTGGATATGGGGGAGATAAGGAGGGGCTTGAAAGAACATGCCCTGTCCGCACAGGACCTAGTCTAGCATCTAGGAGAGGTAACCACAAATTGGCATCACTCAAAGTCAGTCTACAAATCCTCAACCAGCATTTATGTGCATGATTCTACATGTGTTGTCTTCCTCTGGAAATCACTGAGAAATCCATTGTTGGTAATATTGAAGCCTAAGGATATTCAGAGATCCTGTGGTAGGTTCAATTTTAACCTCGTACTTTCTGCTATACTGTGGCATGTGAAAATGGAACATACTTGGACATTAAGGAGGAGTCTCCTACCCTTGGGCTTTTATCTGATCATTTGGAAAATCCTCAGTTAACATGCTATTACAGTGGTTTGACAGTTCACTTGACAGCTCTGAAATAACATTCTTGACTCTTAGATGACAATCTTGTACTGAAACACAAAATGGCTCTTTTCAGAAATTTAGAACTTCAGCCAAGTTTTGGGTTCAAGAAAATAGTGGTGTGTGGATTTTTTTAAGCTCCCCAAATGGATAAATTGTATGTGAACTCTCTTTATGTCCAACATCAGCTATTGCACCAAATAATTGAACTGTCATATGTCCTTTGTTCTTTTAATTAAGTTCGGCTGCATTGAGGCAGGAATAGTCTGGACTTGGGGGTCATGTTTAAAGGCAGCAACCTAGGGTAAACTTATCCTCCAATACATGGACAGTCTGAGTATCTTTTTCCCCTCTTTGGAGGTAGAGGCAAAGTGAAAGGAGGAGAAGGTCCACAGGGAGAAGTAGGGGGAGCACTAGCAACAAATGTTGCCAATTTTCACTTTTCCCATACCGTGTGGTCCTGAATATTATGGCTGTGGCCTCCGTGCAATGCCATCATACCAATGTGCAATCATCTATTTTAGAACCTCAGATGGCATCAACTATTTTAGCTCTTGCCCAAGTATAGCTATTGTACATTCTGAAAGAAGAAAGAGAAGGAGAAGAAGACTAATACTCGTATCTTACTGACAAAACAAAACACCTTTAAAACAAAAGGATGATTTATCTGGGCTGAAAATAAAACTCCTGCCTACTGAAGTCTGGTGCAGCTGAGTTATCACTATTTTCGTCCTGTAATTTGTTTTATAGGGAACTAATTAACAGGGCAAAGTCTGAAGCCAAGAAAGTAAATCCCATTTTGCTGTTTTCCTTTTCTCTAGCAAGATGCAGACCTGGTCTTTAATTAAAGTGCAAGTTCCAAGGGTACTATCAGCTACCGAAATGGGGAAACACTGGGCAGAAAGGATCACGGTGAAACCTGCTGTGTAGAGCTCAAGAAAGATAATGGCAAAGAGAGGAACTGCACAGGCAACCTCCAAAAGAAGAGATTGTTTTCCTCAGATGTCCCCTTCTTATCCATCTTTTATCTGCTCCCCATAACTCAGAATTTCTTCCCTGGCTCTACTCAACTGAGCATGTACCACAAACATCCTTTTTAAAAACTGGATTTCAGGCCCGGTGCGGTGGCTCACACCTGTAATAACAGCACTTTGGGAGGCCGAGGCAGGTGGATCACATGAGGTCAGGAAAGCCCAGCCTGACCAACATGGTGAAACCCCATCTCTACAAAAATTAGCTGGGCGTGGTGGCGCACACCTGTAATTCCAGCTACTCCGGAGGCTGAGGCAGGAGAATCGCTTGAACCCAGGATGCAGAAGTTGCAGTGGGCCGAGATCGGGCCACTACACTCCAGCCTGGGCGACAGAGTGAGACTCTGTCTCAATACATACATACATACATAAAATAAAATAAAAAGTGAATTTCTTTTCCCAGATAATTCCTGTTTTGGGAGCGGCGTTTTTTTTTTTAAAGGTAGCTACTTTCCCATCAAACACCCCTGTCCCAACCTCCCCCTTCTCTGGGGTTTCTTTTTTGATCTGATCCCTCGGTTCTTTGAGATTGGGCTTTGCTGCCCGGCAGGTGCCACTCATCCTTCACCCCTCCTCTCCCAGCTCACCCTCTTCGCCGCCTGGTCTCAGGGTCTTCTTCACTCCTTTCTCCCTCTCTTTGTCTCTCTCCTATCCCATTCCTGGAAGTTCTGGACTGGAGGTGACTGCTCTGGCTTCTCCTAGGACCCTCAGATAGTATAGGGGGCAAGGGGAGTGCGGCGGGGAGGGCGCAGGATGGGTTGGCGAGGAGAGTGAGTGCTGGGTTCGCACCGGGAGCCGGGAGCCTGACGTCACCACGCCCTGCCTGTCAATCTCCAGCGCGCGCCGCTCGCAGCCGCCTTTTCTGCCACCAACTGTGTCTCTCACTCGCGGCGCCGGCACAGCGACAGGCGCCCCGCGCTTGCCTCCTTCCCGGCCGGGCCGCCTCCTGCAGGCAGCTGCTCAGTCCGCGCAGGGAGCTCAGCCCGGCGCCCCGCCTCAGCGCCCATGACCAGCGACTTCCAGAAGTCCTGACGCCCCAGGTGAGCGGCCGAGTTCCCCAGGGAACTTTGAGGATGTGGGGAGAAGGATAGCCAGGGGACGGGTCTTTCCAGAAGAGGAGAAATGGAGCCAAGCTTGACTCCGACCCTCCACTCCCCCCATACACACACCCTAGTCTCTCCTCCCAGACCCCTTTCGCAGGGGTCTCTGGGCTCCAGGGCGCTCCAAGCTTCGCAAGGGCAGAAACTTCGCTTTCAGCACCACGGACAGCGTATCCGCTGCCAAGCTCCCTGGAGATGTCCTGGTCGCGCCGCCACAACCCGAGCGGGACTCTCCCAGGATGACACTCCTAGCTGGTGCACTCGTATGCGTGTGCAAATACAGGCATCCTTGGAGAATTGATCCGTGTGCATGTGAGTGCATGTTGTCCTGGTGTATATCTGTGCAAAAACTCAGAAGTCCGCGTGGGTATTTCACTCACTTACTCAACAGGTATTTATTTTGGGATCTCACTTAACCCATGATTCCCCGATTTGCTCTGGGGTCCCAGGGTGGGGTGGACAACTCAAGTGGTGCAATGCGAGAGGAGGCTCTATGCGTGGGAAAGTTTCCTGGCAGCCTGAAGGGTACACCTGACGCCTGCACTCCCTCCCTATGCAGGGTGCAAATCCGGCCGCAATGAACGCGAGCGCCGCCTCGCTCAACGACTCCCAGGTGGTGGTAGTGGCGGCCGAAGGAGCGGCGGCGGCGGCCACAGCAACAGGGGGGCCGGACACCGGCGAATGGGGACCCCCTGCTGCTGCGGCTCTGGGAGCCGGCGGCGGAGCTAATGGGTCTCTGGAGCTGTCCTCGCAGCTGTCGGCTGGGCCACCGGGACTCCTGCTGCCAGCGGTGAATCCGTGGGACGTGCTCCTGTGCGTGTCGGGGACAGTGATCGCTGGAGAAAATGCGCTGGTGGTGGCGCTCATCGCGTCCACTCCGGCGCTGCGCACGCCCATGTTCGTGCTGGTGGGCAGTCTGGCCACCGCTGACCTGCTGGCGGGCTGTGGCCTCATCTTGCACTTTGTGTTCCAGTACGTGGTGCCCTCGGAGACTGTGAGTCTGCTCACGGTGGGCTTCCTCGTGGCTTCCTTCGCCGCTTCTGTCAGCAGCCTGCTGGCCATTACGGTGGACCGCTACCTGTCCCTGTATAACGCGCTCACCTATTACTCGCGCCGGACCCTGTTGGGCGTGCACCTCCTGCTTGCCGCCACCTGGACCGTGTCCCTAGGCCTGGGGCTGCTGCCTGTGCTGGGCTGGAACTGCCTGGCAGAGCGTGCCGCCTGCAGCGTGGTGCGCCCGCTGGCGCGCAGCCACGTGGTGCTGCTCTCCGCCGCCTTCTTCATGGTCTTCGGCATCATGCTGCACCTGTACGTGCGCATCTGCCAGGTGGTCTGGCGCCACGCGCACCAGATCGCGCTGCAGCAGCACTGCCTGGCGCCACCCCACCTCGCCGCCACCAGAAAAGGTGTGGGTACGCTGGCTGTTGTGCTGGGCACTTTCGGCGCCAGCTGGCTGCCCTTCGCCATCTATTGCGTGGTGGGCAGCCACGAGGACCCGGCAGTCTACACTTACGCCACCCTGCTGCCCGCCACCTACAACTCCATGATCAATCCCATCATCTATGCCTTCCGCAACCAGGAGATTCAGCGCGCCCTGTGGCTCCTGTTTTGTGGCTGTTTCCAGTCCAAAGTGCCCTTTCGTTCCAGGTCCCCCAGCGAGGTCTGAAGGGCTCGCTCCGTGTCCTCTCACCAACACCACACCCCCAACAAGCCAGCCTTTGGTAAGCTTGGTACCTGCTGATGAACTCTGAGATCCCAATGGTGTGAGTCTGACTGTGGAAAGAAAAAGGGACTAAAGAGAAATTCAACAAACTCACAAGGACAAAGAGGCTTGTTGGCACTTTACATATACAGTGTATACATGTGTACATATATATACAAATATTTGTATCTTCTGGAGGTGTTCAGGATGTGGAGCTTCCTATTCTGTGAAAAACCAAGAAAAAGATACGATTGTATACTCAAATTGTGCATCACATTTGTCAAACGAATACATTCCAATACTGCTTAATTATAGCACTTTATTTTTAGCTGCTGAACTGCCAGAACAGTGTTGCCATTTTCAAGGGCAGGGAAAAGGGAGTAAAAGGTGTATTTTTGTTGTATGTGATAGAATATTTTGCTGCACATGCATCAAAAAATTACAACATATTTTGTACACGAATAAACCCATTACAAGAATGTAATTTGGGGTATGTGACTGACTATAGAATTACTATTAGAAAGCTGAATTATAAGTGTGTAAGTGTCTTTATTTCCTTTCTTTCTTGTTTGCTTGCTTTCTTGCTTTCTCTTGCTTGCTTTCTTTCTCTTTTGCTTGTTCCAGATAGAGTCTCACTCTGTCTCCCAGGCCTGAATGCAGTGGCCCAGCTCAGTGCAACCTTGAACTCCTGGGCCCAAGAAATCCTGCCTTAGCCTTCCTAGTAGCTGGGACTACAGGCATGCCACAGCATGCAGCTTACTTTATTTATTGTCTTAAGTTTTTAAAATTTCAATAGATTTGAGGGTACACGTGGTTTTTGGTTACATAGATGAGTTCTTTAGTAGTGAATTCTGAGATTTTTGTGCACCTGTCACCTGAGCAGTGTACACTGTACCTGATATGTAATCTTTTATCCCTCACCTCCCTCCCAACCTCTCCCCACTCCAAGTCCCCACAGTCCATTATATCACTCTGTGTGGTTTTGGGTCCTCATAGCTTAGCTCCCACTTCTAAGGGAGATCATATGGTATTTGATTTTTCATTCTTGAGTTACTTCACTTAGAATAATGGCCTCCAGCTCCACCCAGGTTGCTGCAAAAGACATTATTTCACTGCTTTTTATGACTGAGTAGTATTCCATAGTATATTCATATATATATAGTATCTTCTTTATCCAACCATTGGTTGAAGGGCACATAGGTTGGTTCCATATCCTTGCAATTGCAAGTTTATTATGTAGCATTATTCTCCTGAGAAAACCTTAATGTAAAAAAGCATATGCATTTGCACATTGTTCATAAACTTTCACTGAAATACCAAATTTATATCATTGTGGTTGGGGAGGGAGGGTGCAGGAAGGGAGTAATATATTCATGTAACAGTATTCACAGGACAACAAAGGGTTACTGGTGTTATCTGTGCAAGTTAATCTACTCCCTCAGTTACTGGGTTTCAAAAACAAGTATCTGAGGATATCTTCCTCTCATTCCCTGTGCACTTGTGAATCCTGAAACCACAACTTTCAGTTGTAATTTTTCCCATATGGCAAGAATTTTAAATGTTTAAAATTCATGTTGACTTAATACATTGTTGCTGGCCAGATCTTATAGTAAAATGCACAGGCTGGTAAAATGAATAACTTCTTCCAAGACAGAATTCCAATATATATATCTCCAATCTCATGAGGTACACAAAAGTATATCCAGTGTCCTCTCTTGGGGTACTCTTGGCTTCAAAAGAGGGCACTAAAATCCTTTAGCACTAAACATTCCCATTCCACTGATAGGTGTGAGTCATGATGATTCCCCTCCTTCCCTTCTTATAGGATGATGTGAGGATAAATCAGAGAACACATGAGGGCACGCTCTGAACCCTCTGTGAATTAATATGCACAGCAGCACAAGTCGTTACTACTCTTAGGCCTTAGGAAAATACACACGAGAAAATTTATTGAGTTCCCACTATCCTACTACAATTGAGTTATTAGACACAATTCCAGGGATTGGCATATGGAAAAAAAAGAAAAAAAAGACAAGAAGTCTCAAACTCCATAGTGCTACCTTCTAGTGGGGAAGATGGCCTACAATCAAACAAACAAATATATAATGCTAACAAAGAAAATAAAGGAGGGTGAGGGATAGGGTGCTCCACTTAGGGTGGCCAGGGAAGATCTCTCTGAGGAGATAACATCTAGGAGGAAAGCTCAGTGAAGGGAGAGTGAGATGCATGAGCATGCAAGGGAAGAGCTTTCCAGACAGAGGAAGCAGCAAGTGTGAAGGCTTCCAGGTGGGAGCATGGCCGTCAAGTTCAAGGAACAGCAAGGAGGTCAACGAGGCCAGACAGACTGAGCAAGAGGAAGAGAGGCATGCTGTTAACTTGGAGGACCTGGGATATGATTATCTCAAACTTCACAAGCCACTATAGGGACTTGGGCTTTGACCCTGAGTGACATGATATGATGTTTATTTTTTAAAAAATCACTCTAGCTATCCTGTTGAAAACAGTCTCTAGGAGGGTCAGAGTGACAGCAGGAGATAAGGGTTTATAAACATAATCCCCATGAGAAATGACAGTGGCTTGGAGTACAATGGCAGTGGGGGAGATGGTGAGAGTAGTAGGTTCTAGAAACGTGTTGAAGGATAGATGGGAGGTGGGGCATGAAAGAAAAATGTTCAGAATTCATCAAATGAGGGAATGCAGGGGTCTTTAGTGAGCAAGGAAAAACTGAGGGTTTGGGGGAGTACATTGGGAAGTGTGATGATTAATTTTATGTGTCAATTTGGCCAGACAATAGGGTGCCCAGATATTTGGTCAAACACATTTTGATCATTTGAAGGCCTGAATAGAACAAAAATATGGGCCTCCCCCGAGCAAGAAAGAAGTCTTCAGTGGGTTTCCCTTGGATTCCACTTGCAACATTGGCTTTTCCTGGTTCTATGGAAGATGGTCTTGAGACTGGAACTACAGCGTCAACTTCCCTGGGTCTTCAGCCTCCTGGCCCACCTTGCAGATTTTGGACCTGTCAGCCTCCATAATCATTGAACTATTCCTTAGAATAAATGTCTTCATGTGCACATATGTGCACACACACACACACATGCACATCCGATGGGTAGGATATATCTATGTACATATACATCCTATTGGTCCTGTTTCTCTGAAGAATGCTGACTAATACAGGAAGGGTGGCAAATTTAAAAAGTTAGTTTTAAATACCTAGAGAGTGCTCACGTGTGAAGTTAATTCATTTATTTATTTCACAAACACTTCTATAGCACTTACTATATGCCAGACACTGCTCTAAACCCTTTACAAATATTAGCTTATTTAATCACCATCTTTATTTAATTCCAAACTGGTTACGTCTCAGCAGGAGGCAAATGGCACACTCAAATGAGGTGACTGAGGAGAGTTTAATGAGGAGACTATTTATAAAAGTGTGAGCATAGTTAAGGGAAATCAACAAGGAATGGTGAAATGCCCCCAGAGCTGGCACCAGCAGGGCTGTGAGAAGGGGGAAGAAGAGAGAGTAATTACTGGAACCAGGAGAGAGGGCTTTAGGTCTTGGCTGTCCAGCAGGAGCTATGGCCTTCAACAGAGGAAGGCAGCAACAACCAACCTAGGGCTTGATAGGGAGAGATCTGGGAGAATAAATTACTTTCTTCCCTCCTTGATGGAGGCTTCCATTAACTAAACTCAGTCAGAAGCCAGAGAGCAAGACAACTCTTTGGTGCAGGCCACACAGATCAACTTCTCTGGGCACTGAGCAGATAGAGAAGGGTGAGAAGTAGACCTGCTAGTGCAAACAGAATATCCAGCACAAACGCTGTGAGCTCAGTACTCTTGTTGCTCCACTTTTTAGCTGAGGAAATGGAGGCACAGAGAGATTAGCTATGCATATCTGGAATTCAGGACAAAGGTCTAAGCAGGACAAATGAATTAGGGACTTATCAACATATAGGTAGTATGTAAAGCCATGGGTCTAGAAGGGGTCACTTCACGAGTACTCGTAGGCAGAAAAGAGAAGAGGGCCAAGGACTGAGCCCCAGGAAATGGAAGCATTTAGAAATCAAGAAGAAATTGAGGACCAAGCAAGGGAGAAAGAAAAGTGATCAGTGAGGTGGGAGGAAACCAAGAGCACAGTGACCCAAAAAATAAAGAAAAAAGTGTGTAGTGAAGAAGTAGTCAACTGGCTCAAATGCAGCTGAGAGAGTAAGTAAAATGAGAACTTTAAAAAATGGCTAAAGATGATGTCATGTGAATGTCTTTGGTGAACTTCACAAGAAAAGCTTCAGGAGAGAGAGGAAAAAAAAGCCTGACTGTAGAAGCACAAGAGAAAATGTATGAGCAATCTAGTCTCCAGCAACTCACAGCAGAACTGTGACCTTTTCAACGCTATAAAACACACTACATTTTATAGACGTAGAGTTTTACACTGTCTATAAATTCAAATCAGGGAAGATCAGCATTATTGCCAACTCATCAAATTAAAATTTTCTAAAGTATTAACCATCATGGACTCTTCAGCATCACCAGACACTGGTTCAGGTCCTATTATCATCTGGAAAGCATTCAAGTGAACTAAAATGCAAAAGCTCTTGCTGTCAACTTTCCCATATGTGATGGGGAAAACAGTATAATTTCAGAAGCAGAACAAAGAAGTCAATATTATTTTATCTTTTATACTCATGGAGAAAAAATTTCCTGCAATCATCACATTAAGAAAGTTCAACACTAGAATAATAAGACATAAACCATGGATCTGTCTTCAGTGCACTTATTAATACTCAATACCAGCCCCGGTCCTAATCAAAATGTTTGAGAGAGCCAAGTATAAGAAGATACTAAACAATCAAGTTATTACTAATGCCAACTTACACAGTTGACCAGGCTGTGTAATATCAGCAGGCTTAATATTAACCAACCTAGGAATATGAAAATATAAAACTATGAGAATATCTTGAAACATTTCCACAGAAGAAAGTCACATATTCATTTGACCTATCAAATATTAATTAAGAATTACCTACTGCAAGATCCTATGCTAGTTGCTAGAAACATAGTCTTTTAAAAAAATTCTTTAAATTTTTTTATTTTTAATTTTTTTGTGGGTACATAGTAAGTATATATATTCAAACATACAGTCTTGGAGAAAGGCAAGACTCACTCAAACAGCTAACTACCTACCCACTTTGTTGTCTAATGGGCATCCTAAATTTAACACATTTAAAACTGGACTACTGATCTTCACCCCCAAACCTGATTTTTATCCCTTATGTGTAAGTTAACAAAAATGTCATCTTTCTAGGTGTTCCGGTCAGAAACCTCAGACTCACACTTTCCCTTCTATTTCTCTCATACCTCACAATCAATGTGTCAGCCTGTTATCTTTACCTTCAAAGAATATCCGGAATCCAGACACTTCTCACCATCCACACCACTCTCATCATCTCTTGCCTGAATTACTATAGCAGCCTCCTGTCT